AGTAGTAGTAGTAGTAGTATTTTTCCCTGCGCTCCTCTGACTTACCCTTCTTCTCCGCCTCCGTCTACTCCATGATCCTCTTCCGCCTGCTCGTTCTTCCTTTGTTTCCTCTGCGCCAGCCCGTTCATTTCATACAATTGTTGACATGGTGCCATAGAGTGAGTCGAGTCGAGTCGGCCTCCTTCATCTCCTTCCCCCCTCATCCTCCTTGTCCTCCTCGCCCTCTTTCTCCTTCTCTTCATCCGCATCTTCTCCATTCCTTCTCCTCCTCCGCGCCCTACTTGGGGCTCTCTTGGGCCGTCTTGGGGCTGCCTTGGGGCCTTCTTGGGTTATCTTAGGGGCCCCTGTGGGTCCTCTTCCAGCCTTCTTGGGGCCCACTCGGGCCTTCTAGGGCCCCTCATGATGATTTGGGGCTGCCTCGAGCCGATTCGAGCCGCTCCAGAGGATCTCTTGGGCCTCCTGGAGGCTCCTTGTGGCTGTTCTAGGCCATCTTTGGACCCTCTTGGGGCCCTAGATTTAGGTCGGGCATGTCCTCCGAAATGAGGATGTTGTAGGAAAATTAACAATAGCCCAGACATTGTCAAACATAGTCAAACAACACGAAACAACGTCACCAGACTATTGTTTTACTACTTCTATTCGTCTATATTCCTACTGTAGAGGGGCATGTCCGACTTAACCCTAGATCCCCCTCTGCTCCCCCGAGGCCCTCCTGGATCTATGCTGAGCCATTAATGTATCCGACTTCGGGCTTTTCTGGCGCCGTATCCTCCGAGGTGCGTGCTAGCAAGTGCCCGCCCTAGCTTTTGGCTCAGGCTTCCCTGTGCGTTCTCCCCGACTTGTTCCCAGGGATCTGGCCTTGAGGAGCCATGCCGGCCGCGATGGGCATCAACGGCTTCGGCCGCATCGGTCGCCTGGTCTGCCGCGCAGCGCTCGGCAACCCTGAGGTGCAGCTGAAGGCCATCAACGATCCCTTCATGGACCTCGAGTACATGGTCTACATGCTCAAGTACGACTCCGTGCACAAGCGCTACCCTGGCATCATCGCCACGAAGGTGGCCGACGGCAAGGAGTTCCTGGTCGTGGACGGCAAGGACATTGCGGTGTTCCACGAGAAGGACCCGGCGTCCATCCCGTGGGGCGCCGCGGGCGCCAGCTACATCTGCGAGTCCACCGGCGTGTTCACTGCCCAGGAGAAGGCTGAGCTGCACATCAAGGGTGGTGCCAAGAAGGTCATCATCTCTGCTCCTCCCAAGGACGCTGTCCCGATCTACGTCGTCGGCGTGAACCACACCGAGTACAAGGCCTCGGACACCGTGGTGTCGAACGCGTCCTGCACCACGAACTGCCTGGCCCCGCTGACCAAGGTGGTGCACGAGAAGTTCGGCATCGTGGAGGGTCTCATGACCACGGTGCACGCGATGACGGCCACGCAGCTCACGGTGGACGGCCCGTCCCGCGGCGGCAAGGACTGGCGCGGGGGCCGCTGCGCCTCGCAGAACATCATCCCGTCCTCCACGGGCGCCGCCAAGGCGGTGGGCAAGTGCCTCCCGGCGGTGAACGGCAAGCTCACAGGAATGGCCTTCCGCGTGCCCACGCCGGACGTGTCCGTGGTGGACCTGACGTGCCGCCTGGAGAAGGGCGCGAAGTACGACGAGATCGTGGCAGCCGTGAAGGAGGCGGCCGCGGGCCCGATGAAGGGCGTCCTGGACTGGACCGACGAGGAGGTGGTCTCCACGGACTTCGTGAGCTGCAAGTCCTCGTCCATCTTCGACGTCAGCGCCGGCATCTCCCTGAGCGACACCTTCGTCAAGCTGGTGTCCTGGTACGACAACGAGTGGGGCTACTCCAACCGCCTCGTGGACCTGTGCTGCCACATGGCCAAGGTTGACGGCGCCTGATCCGTTCCTGACATGTCGGGAGCGCGTTTCGCTCTGCGAGCTTTCTCCTAGGCGCGAGATCTGTTCAGGATCTGCCGGCAGGCTAGCCTTCAATTTTGCGTGGAGGGCGAGGCCGGCTCCTCGCTTGCCAGGCGTAGAACTGCCTGGGCGATCCACGGCTCCGGAAGACAGACAGCCAGCCGTGAATTTTCGCGAACGCGCTGCCGAGCAACATTATCCTGGCGAAGGACCCAACCAGATGCAAGTGTGAGTACCGCAAGGCAGCCGGGACGAATGAGGGGGAGTTTCCTTATGGGGCCACGACACGTGTGAGGGGTGTGCCGAACTGAGTGGGGAGCCGCATGTGGACGCGTTCACCAGGGCTTTAGGTGGAGGTCCCTGAGGAGCCACGACACGTGCCTGGGCTGTACCGAAATGGGCTGGGAATCGCATGTGGACACAGCTAGTTGGGCCTTAGGCTGAGCTCCCTATGGAGCCACGGAGCGTGCGAAGGGAGTGCTGAATGGGCGACGACGCACCCACTGGGACCTCAAGTGGAGCTCCCCATGGGGCCACGAAACGTGTCTAGGGTGTGCCACAATGGGCGGCGAGCCGCATGCGGTCACCGCCGCCAGAGCCTTCGCTAGGGCTCCCTAAATGGCCACGAAGCGTGTGAGGAGCGTGCTGGAATGGGGGAAGCGGGCGCATGCGGTCACTGTCACTGGGGCCTTCGCTGTGGCTCCCCGTATAGCCACGAAGCGTGTGAGGGGCATGCGGTCACCTCCACGGGGACCTTCGGTGGAGCTCCCTCCTTATGGAGCCACGAGGCGTGTGAGGGGTGTGCCGAAATGATTGGCGGGGACGCATGCGATTACCGCCATTGGGGCCTTCGGTGGACTTTCCTAGAGAGCCACGGAACGATGCACAGCTGTCGCCACATTCCTGCGCCCCTGGGGGTCTCAGCGGAGTGCCGCCCCACGCGGATCCAACAATACCTCGCCCTGCGGGCCCCACGCGGATCCAACGAGACCTTGCCTTGACTGAGAGTTGGCAGACGCACGACTGTCGCCACGTTCCTGCGCCCCCGAGAGGGGTCCAGCGGGGTGGCGCCATACGCGGATCCGATCAAGACCTCGTCTGGATGGGGTGCTGCCAAGCTCGCCACCGTCGCCTCCCCCGTTCCTGCGCCCCTTGGCGGATCCAGTAGAGTGGCGCCCTACGCGGATCCACCCCACGGTCCCGCCAAGCGTCTTGGGTAATCCTGGGTGAGTTGGCCACGTGCCTGGGTAACTTGGGCCGTTGGTGCTGGGTGCGGGCCGTTCGTCGCCGCAGCTGGGCGCGGCTCGGGAAATTGGCCAGGGGGGTGTCGAGGAGGAGTCCTGGGAGGGATGTTTGAACTGGCTGCCCACGCTGAGCAGAGCACGACAAGGAATGTCTGAAGAGGGGCTTCGCCCTCTGCCGCCAGCCCCCCGCCCCCTCTGCTTGCCTGCGCGGCTGGTTCCAGGTTTGCTTTTGCGAGTTGTCAGTCTGCAGATGTTGCTGTTGCAGTGCTGGAGCCAGTTCACTGTTTTACATACGCTGGAAGCGGTTACCGGTCTGGTGCCCTCTTGGGGCCATATTGGGCCATCTTGGACGCTCTCGCGACCAGGCCCGTCCAGACCCAGGGAGAGGGGGTCGGGGCAACGGTGAACCTCTCCCCGAAGGGAAAGTGGAGGCTGGACGAACCACCTCCCTAAGCTACCTACGCCCAAGGGCTGGTGGGATTCGTGACGCTTCGTGTATCTCCAGCAGTAGGCAGGCCTACGCCGTCGACACGGCCCTGGCCCAGCCCAACTGGCAGGTCTACGCCGTCGTCACGGCCCTGGCCTTTTGCGCCCCTGGCGACTCGACCAGTGTGTACCTAGCCTTTCCCCACCACCGTGTCTGTGAGGATCGCACGTGCAGGTTATCCCACCTGTCCCGACAAGCACCTCCACCGGAGTGGACTGACGCCACAGCGCGTAACACAGAATTCCCTGTCATTTTGCCGCAGGGCTGCACGATGCCCGAGCTTCCCTGGGCGTTGCAGGTCAGCCAGCCACCCCCCCGCCGCTGCTGCCTCAGCTGCTGCTTTTGTGAGCTGGCCCGGCCGGCTTGTGCTGCGCCCAGCAGCTAATTAGGTTTGCCCGTCGGCCCGGACTCCCTGTTCGCCGCCTGCGCTCTGCGCTCGCGGCCGCGACCCAAAAAGTATCTCCACCCGTCCCGTTCCGTTACTCGCCGCCTGCGTTTTCGTTTGCGGCTGCGACAAAAAAATACCTCCAGCAACTCCTCCAGCAACGATGCCCAGGCGAACTGCATTGATCATGGAACTGTGGAAGCACGCATTGGAAGTGTGGAAGTGTGGAAGCTGTCAAATCCAAGTTTTGGATCAGCCTGCGCAGACCCGGGGGTGAATCGTATATGCTTTGGCGGCCATCTGGGAGGCCATGAAGCAAAGCAGGGGGCGACGCCGATCAGGGCCAGCCCTCTTGGGTCCGAAACGTCGCCGCTGGTGGTCCTTTTGAGCGCTCTCGGGGCAGTTCGGGCCCCTTTTGGGGATCCCTTGGGCCATCGTGGAGCAATCTTGAGGCCATCTTGGGCCACAGTGGACCCTTGGGATCGCTTGGGCCATCTTGGAGGCGACACGGCGAGAAGGCAAGAAACACGTGTTTACATTGGGGTCGGGCCGAAGTTTGGCCTCTCAGGGGCCTCTGTAGGAGGCTGCGTTGCCACCTGGAGCCGTCTTGGAAGGGTATTGGGGCCTGTTGGAAGCATCTTGGAGGCCATCTTGAACCATCCTCAGATGTCTTGTGCCATCTTGGAGGCAATCGTGGGTTGTCTTGGGCCATCTTGGAGCCATCCTGGGCCAAAAGGGAACCCTCTGACGCACCGGGCCCGCCCTCGTCCAGACCCAGGGGAAATGGAAAAGGGGAGGGTAATCCCCTCCCCGAATGGGAAGAAAGGAATTGGAAGTTAGACCGCCTCGGCCCGAAAGGGCTGGTGGGATTATAGAAAGCTTTGGTTCAGGCCGTTTTGGCTCAAGAGTAGATATCATTAGATATCGTATCGCCCTGCCCTCGGCCTGCGTGCTACTTGAGCCCCATGCCGGCCGCGATGGGCATCAACGGCTTCGGCCGCATCGGTCGCCTGGTCTGCCGCGCAGCGCTCGGCAACCCTGAGGTGCAGCTGAAGGCCATCAACGATCCCTTCATGGACCTCGAGTACATGGTCTACATGCTCAAGTACGACTCCGTGCACAAACGCTACCCGGGCATCATCGCCACGAAGGTGGCCGACGGCAAGGAGTTCCTGGTCGTGGACGGCAAGGACATTGCGGTGTTCCACGAGAAGGACCCGGCGTCCATCCCGTGGGGCCGCCGCGGGCGCCAGCTACATCTGCGGAGTCTCCACCGGCGTGTTCTCTGCCCAGGAGAAGGCCTGAGCTCACCCTATGCACATCAAGGTGTGGTGCCAAGAAGGCTCATCATCTCGCTCATCCCAAGGACGCTGCTCCGCATCTACGTCGTGTTCGAAGTGAACCACAACGAGTACAAGGCCTCGGACACTCGTGGTTTATTCGTGGTGTCGAACGCGTCCTGCACCACGAACTGCTGGCCCCGCTGGACCAAGGTTGTGTGTGCACGAGAGAGAAGTTCGGCAATAGTGGAGGGGTCTATGACCACGTGCACGCGATGTCGACATACCGCAGCTCACGGTGGTCGGCCCGTCCGCGAGCGGCAAGGACTTCAGACCCGCCCCGGACTGGCGCGGGGGCCGCTGCGCCTCGCAGAACATCATCCCGTCCTCCACAGGCGCCGCCAAGGCGGTGGGCAAGTGCCTCCCGGCGGTGAACGGCAAGCTTACAGGAATGGCTTTCCGCGTGCCCACGCCAGACGTGTCCGTGGTGGATCTGACGTGCCGCCTGGAGAAGGGCGCGAAGTACGACGAGATCGTGGCAGCCGTGAAGGAGGCCGCCGCGGGCCCGATGAAGGGCGTCCTGGACTGGACCGACGAGGAGGTGTAACTCCACGGACTTCCAACGTATGCGAGTTGAGTCTGGCTAGTCCTCAGTCATCTGCGACGTCAGCAGCGCCGGCATCTCACTGAGCGTCACTTCGTCAAGCTAGTGTCTGGTAACGACAAACGTGTGGGGTACTCCAACCGCCTACGTGGACCCTGTGCTGCCACATGGCCAAGGTTGACGGCGCCTGATTCACGTTTGGACTTGTCGGGAGCGTTTCGTTTCGCTCTGCGTGCTTTACTCTAGGCGCGAGAATCTGTTCAGGATCTGGGCAGGCTGCCTTCAATTTTGCGTGGGGGCGGGCCGGCTCCTCACTGCCAGGCGTAGAAATGCTGAGGCGATCACGGCTCCGGAATAACAGACAGCAGCCTGCGTGATTTTTCGCGTACGCCTCGCTGCCGAGCAACATGATTCCTGGCGAAGGTGCCAACCAGTATGCAGTGTGAGTACCGCAAGGGGCAGCCGGGACGGATATTGCGGGGCCGGGGGGAGTTTCCTTATGGGGCCACGACACGTGTGAGGGGTGTGCCGAACTGAGTGGGGAGCCGCATGTGGACGCGTTCACCAGGGCTTTAGGTGGAGGTCCCTGAGGAGCCACGACACGTGCCTGGGCTGTACCGAAATGGGCTGGGAATCGCATGTGGACACAGCTAGTTGGGCCTTAGGCTGAGCTCCCTATGGAGCCACGGAGCGTGCGAAGGGAGTGCTGAATGGGCGACGACGCACCCACTGGGACCTCAAGTGGAGCTCCCCATGGGGCCACGAAACGTGTCTAGGGTGTGCCACAATGGGCGGCGAGCCGCATGCGGTCACCGCCGCCAGAGCCTTCGCTAGGGCTCCCTAAATGGCCACGAAGCGTGAGAGGAGCGTGCTGGAATGGGGGAAGCGGGCGCATGCGGTCACTGTCACTGGGGCCTTCGCTGTGGCTCCCCGTATAGCCACGAAGCGTGTGAGGGGCATGCGGTCACCTCCACGGGGACCTTCGGTGGAGCTCCCTCCTTATGGAGCCACGAGGCGTGTGAGGGGTGTGCCGAAATGATTGGCGGGGACGCATGCGATTACCGCCATTGGGGCCTTCGGTGGACTTTCCTAGAGAGCCACGGAACGATGCACAGCTGTCGCCACATTCCTGCGCCCCTGGGGGTCTTAGCGGAGTGTCGCCCCACGCGGATCCAACAATACCTCGCCCTGCGGGCCCCACGCGGATCCAACGAGACCTTGCCTTGACTGAGTGTTGGCAGACGCACGACAGTCGCCACGTTCCTGCGCCCCCGAGGGGGGTCCAGCGGGGTAGCGCCATACGCGGATCCGATCAAGACCTCGTCTGGATGGGGTGCTGCCAAGCTCGCCACCGTCGCCTCCCCCGTTCCTGCGCCCCTTGGCGGATCCAGTAGAGTGGCGCCCTACGCGGATCCACCCCACGGTCCCGCCAAGCGTCCTGGGTAATCCTGGGTGAGTTGGCCACGTGCCTGGGTAACTTGGGCCGTTGGTGCTGGGTGCGGGCCGTTCGTCGCCGCAGCTGGGCGCGGCTCGGGAAATTGACCAGGGGGGTGTCGAGGAGGAGTCCTGGGAGGGATGTTTGAACTGGCTGCCCACGCTGAGCAGAGCACGACAAGGAATGTCTGAAGAGGGGCTTCGCCCTCTGCCGCCAGCCCCCCGCCCCCCTCTGCTTGCCTGCACGGCTGGTTCCAGGTTTGCTTTTGCGAGTTGTCAGTCTGCAGATGTTGCCGTTGCAGTGCTGGAGCCAGTTCACTGTTTTACATACGCTGGAAGCGGTTACCGGTCTGGTGCCCTTTTGGGGCCATCTTGGACCATTCTTGCGACCAGGCCCGTACAGGACCTGGGAGTGGGGGTCGGGGCATAGGTGAACCTCTCCCCGAAAGGGGAAGGTGGAGGCTGACGAGCCAAATACATAAGGCTGACTACGCCCAAGGGCGCTGGTTATGGGAGTCGTGAGGCTTAGTGTATCATACAGTGTTCCTCAGCATCGATGACCATGCGAGTTGCCATTGATCATGTATGTGTGGAAGCTAGCAATTGGAAGTGTTGGATGTTGGAGAAGCCTCAATTCGAAGTGTTGGATACAGCTCTGCGCAGACCCAGGGGCGTGATTGCGTATTTGCAATTGGCGGCTTGTGGGTGGCCATGGAGCAAAGCTTGGGGGCGACGCCCGATCAGGGCTGGCCCACGTGGGTCGGAGACCGTAGCCTCTGGTGGTCCTCCCCTCTTGGGCCGGGCTGTGGGGCAGCTCGTGCCCCTCTTGGGGATACACTTGGTCATGGGGCTCGAGAAGGGAGCAATCTTGAGGCCATCTTGGGCCACAATGGACCCTTGGGATCGCTTTGGCCATCTTGGAGGCGACACGGCGAGAAGGCAAGAAGCACGTGTTTACATTTGGGTCGGGCCGAATTTTGGCCTCTCAGGGGCCTCTGTGGGAGGCTGCATTGCCACCTGGAGCCGTCTTGGAATTGTATTGGGGCCTGTTGGAAGCGTCTTGGAGGCCATCTTGAACCATCCTGAGATGTCTTGTACCGTCTTGGAGGCAATCGTGGGTTGTCTTGGGCCATCTTGGAGCCATCCTGGGCCAAAAGGGAACCCTCTGACGCACCGGGCCCGCCCTCAACCAGACCCAGGGGAAAGGGAAAGGGGGAGGGTAATCCCCTTCCCGAATGGGAAGAAGGGAGTTGGAAGTTAGACCGCCTCGGCCCGAAAGGGCTGGTGGGATTACAGAAAGCTTTGGTTCAGGCCGTTTTGGCTCAAGAGTAGATATCATTAGATATCGTATCGCCCTGCCCTCGGCCTGCGTGCTACTTGAGCCCCATGCCGGCCGCGATGGGCATCAACGGCTTCGGCCGCATCGGTCGCCTGGTCTGCCGTGCAGCGCTCGGCAACCCTGAGGTGCAGCTGAAGGCCATCAACGATCCCTTCATGGACCTCGAGTACATGGTCTACATGCTCAAGTACGACTCCGTGCACAAGCGCTACCCGGGCATCATCGCCACGAAGGTGGCCGACGGCAAGGAGTTCCTGGTCGTGGACGGCAAGGACATTGCGGTGTTCCACGAGAAGGACCCGGCGTCCATCCCGTGGGGCGCCGCGGGCGCCAGCTACATCTGCGAGTCCACCGGCGTGTTCACTGCCCAGGAGAAGGCTGAGCTGCACATCAAGGGTGGTGCCAAGAAGGTCATCATCTCTGCTCCTCCCAAGGACGCTGTCCCGATCTACGTCGTCGGCGTGAACCACACCGAGTACAAGGCCTCGGACACCGTGGTGTCGAACGCGTCCTGCACCACGAACTGCCTGGCCCCGCTGACCAAGGTGGTGCACGAGAAGTTCGGCATCGTGGAGGGTCTCATGACCACGGTGCACGCGATGACGGCCACGCAGCTCACGGTGGACGGCCCGTCCCGCGGCGGCAAGGACTGGCGCGGGGGCCGCTGCGCCTCGCAGAACATCATCCCGTCCTCCACGGGCGCCGCCAAGGCGGTGGGCAAGTGCCTCCCGGCGGTGAACGGCAAGCTCACAGGAATGGCCTTCCGCGTGCCCACGCCGGACGTGTCCGTGGTGGACCTGACGTGCCGCCTGGAGAAGGGCGCGAAGTACGACGAGATCGTGGCAGCCGTGAAGGAGGCGGCCGCGGGCCCGATGAAGGGCGTCCTGGACTGGACCGACGAGGAGGTGGTCTCCACGGACTTCGTGAGCTGCAAGTCCTCGTCCATCTTCGACGTCAGCGCCGGCATCTCCCTGAGCGACACCTTCGTCAAGCTGGTGTCCTGGTACGACAACGAGTGGGGCTACTCCAACCGCCTGTCGTGGACTCTGTGGCTGCCACGTAAGTGGCCAAGTGTTGAGCGGCGACATGATCCGTTCCTCTGACTGCCTTCCACGGCGTTTTCGCTCTGCGCAGGAAGCGCTAGCGCGAGAGTCCTGTTTATGGATCCTGCCGGCGTTCCTAGCCTTCAATTTTCGTGATGGCGAGGCCGGCTCCGCGCTTGCGGTCGTAAGAAATGCCTTGGTGCGATCCACGGCTCCGGAAGACAGACAGCCAGCCGTGAATTTTCGCGAACGCGCTGCCGAGCAACATTATCCTGGCGAAGGACCCAACCAGATGCAAGTGTGAGTACCGCAAGGCAGCCGGGACGAATGAGGGGGAGTTTCCTTATGGGGCCACGACACGTGTGAGGGGTGTGCCGAACTGAGTGGGGAGCCGCATGTGGACGCGTTCACCAGGGCTTTAGGTGGAGGTCCCTGAGGAGCCACGACACGTGCCTGGGCTGTACCGAAATGGGCTGGGAATCGCATGTGGACACAGCTAGTTGGGCCTTAGGCTGAGCTCCCTATGGAGCCACGGAGCGTGCGAAGGGAGTGCTGAATGGGCGACGACGCACCCACTGGGACCTCAAGTGGAGCTCCCCATGGGGCCACGAAACGTGTCTAGGGTGTGCCACAATGGGCGGCGAGCCGCATGCGGTCACCGCCGCCAGAGCCTTCGCTAGGGCTCCCTAAATGGCCACGAAGCGTGTGAGGAGCGTGCTGGAATGGGGGAAGCGGGCGCATGCGGTCACTGTCACTGGGGCCTTCGCTGTGGCTCCCCGTATAGCCACGAAGCGTGTGAGGGGCATGCGGTCACCTCCACGGGGACCTTCGGTGGAGCTCCCTCCTTATGGAGCCACGAGGCGTGTGAGGGGTGTGCCGAAATGATTGGCGGGGACGCATGCGATTACCGCCATTGGGGCCTTCGGTGGACTTTCCTAGAGAGCCACGGAACGATGCACAGCTGTCGCCACATTCCTGCGCCCCTGGGGGTCTTAGCGGAGTGTCGCCCCACGCGGATCCAACAATACCTCGCCCTGCGGGCCCCACGCGGATCCAACGAGACCTTGCCTTGACTGAGTGTTGGCAGACGCACGACAGTCGCCACGTTCCTGCGCCCCCGAGGGGGGTCCAGCGGGGTAGCGCCATACGCGGATCCGATCAAGACCTCGTCTGGATGGGGTGCTGCC